GGTCTGGGGCTGGCGGCATCCGGGGCGCGGCCCAGGCTTGCCGAAGGCTTTTTGCTGCGGCCTACTGGCCGGAAGCCCGTCTTCGAAGGAGTGGCGGTTAATTCGGGCTGTGAGTATGGAACACTACGGCCCTGGCTCGCTTTGTCCGCGGCCTTGGATGGAGGAGTGAAGATTGGAGGCGCCCCTGTTAGGAGGGAAGTGTAGAGGGCGAGGAGATCTGCCTTGGCTGATCGTCGTGGGACGCTGACGCCGGAGCTGACGAGCGCCTGGCGTAGTTCTGCCACGGTCCATTTCTCCGCAGCTGGGGCGGGGGAGAGGGCTGAGGCGTAGGAGGACGCTGGAGAAGGTGGCTGACGCCTTGAAGGCGCAGGTGATGGCGTGCCTCGGTGCCTGGAGGTATGCGCGATGGCGACGCGGGAGGGCCGGCGGCCCCGAGTTGCAGCCGCGGGCTCGATTATGGTGTCCTGCGGAGCGCTGGTGTGCTGGACGGCGACTGAATTCATTATCGTCCGGGAAAAGTTCGATGTCTGACATGGTGCTAAGGACGGGAGATAATGGAGGTAAGGCTGCTTTGATTATTTATAGAGGTTCTCTCTTGAGCTGATTGGATAGATGGTGTAATTACTGATGATGAACTGGCCGTGTTAATTATCTGTGCGCGCTCCTCCCGAAACTTGTTAATAAAACATCACGTAACGGTGACGATATCGACTGTGTGTGAGTGTGTGTCAGTGACTGGCAAGGTGGCGTGGGAGTCATTGCCACACTCTAGGGGCCTGGAGCTCATTTGAATGCATCTCGACACTGACACCCCCTTCACTGCTCTCTCTCACACACACATACAGACACAGTACTCCCTCTACCTGTTTGGGCTGCCATCATTTGCATGAAATAAGATGGAAATGGAGCCCTTATTTATTTCAGCAGAAATGAACTGTATTATTAAGGGCACCATTGTGCAAAGCACCGGCTGCAATGAGAATACATTACCCTGGCTATTTCTGGAGTGCTCCAGTCACACATACTGGCTAATTTACTCCATTCTTGACTCATACCACTACTTTGAGGGACCCACCACGTGGATGCATTCATTGGAGTGTGTATATATGTGTGTGTGTATATGGGTGATTGTAGCGTTGAGACAAATCTTGCTCCTGTGTGGGCAGCGCCGGCATGTATGAGTGTGTGAATAATGCATTTTGGCTGTATGTTTGAACTGAAATCATCTCTAATTCAGTGGCATCACCCTTGATATCAACCAACAGGTTCATTCTTTTCACCACTGTGGCCTGTGAACTGGAAGAACACACACTCATCATTTCCTGTTCCCTTTTCTTCCTCCTCATTAATGCTGACCGTTCTCTCCCCTGCAGGAATGGTTTTAATAGTACATTGGCTGAACCCTGAACTCTTCGTGGATGTTCCTCTACCCATGATCTGATCTAGTACTGACTTCTTTTACCTGCAAACTGGCAATAACAATGCAGCAGAACATCAGACTGGTCTCTGATCATATGCAATCTATTTCCATGCAAGTTGTGAATTTAATTCTTGTGAAAAATCTAAATACGAAAAAAAAACAGCGTGCGAATAAAGTAGCATTTAATCTAATGCCACTGGCAGCGAAATTGACACATAAAAACAAGAAAAATACAAAAAAGGCACCTCATGTCAAAAATCTTGCTGACCCCTGGTTTAGCCAAAAAAAAAAAAAAAAGGAGTTCACTCAAACCTTAA